ACATGTTTTGAAATTTAAAATTAACTTAACATATTATATTCTTTATGCCAATTTAATGTACTTTTCTTTCTTTAGTGCTTTTCTTTCCTTCCTTTTGTACTGGTGCCTAGTAGTATATCTAGAATAGCAAATCATGTAAGTTTAGGCAAGTTCACAGAGAAGATACCTGCTACTACAGGGATTTTAAAGGTAGTAAACAAAAGGGATACCAAGATCCAATGGCTGGAAATTGAAGTCAGCAAAGTTTGAACTGGAAGATATTTTTAACAGAGGACAATTAACCACGGAAGAGATTACCAGTGGAAGTAGTAAATTCTCCATCAGTTGGAGTCAAAACCAAATGTTTCTATAAAAAGTATGTGTTAATTCAATCACAGGTTAATTGAGCTTAATGCAGAAATTATTGGAGGAAATTCTGTGGTTGGTGTTATGCAGAAGGTCAGTCTCTGGAGATTATAATGTGGTGTCTTCTGCCCAGGAATTCCATGAAAAAACATAGGTAACTGGGTTCTAAGTTTAGTTACTATACATACGATGAATTATCAAGTTGAAAATTGCACCTTATCTGTGGAAACTATTTTAATGGCGGCTGGTTTGTCTGTCAGTGTCCCAGCAAGGGCAAATGTTCTTCACTTCCGTTTTCCCTTCTTTTCTAGTTCACTATTGCTTGGAGTGTCTAGGTGGTGATGTCTTCATCGGCAAGTTATATCTTACTTTATTATCCCTTAGTTCATACACAAAGGGGTTTTGTATTTCAAAAGTTGCATCATGTTTGGATAGCTGCATCATTCTTTTTTGCTACATAAACAATCTTTCTTCTAATTTTTATATCTATTTCAGAGATTTTTCTTCCACCTTTTTCATAAGAACTCTTTGTCTAAGTTCTGAGTGGTTTAAGTTGTATATGCAGAGATATTGAGCATAAAACTAATTTACCCAGAAGATTAAGTTTATAATCTTAGGAATCTGTAGCTATCTGTGTGTGTATTGGAGAGCGTACCCCATTGGGAGTATTTTTGTATTAATGAAAACTTCACACTAGGGGCTTGCTCTGTTTCGTGGCTGAATATAGTCTGGAATAGTAAAGTTTACAGAGAAAACCATCATTCTGCCCATTGGAAAAACAGGTTAATTTCATAGTGAGTGATAAGAATGTGCACCAACTGACTTCACCAGTCAAGACTTTTTTCTAGTATTGAACTTGCTGCCCAGAGCTGCTGCTACTGTTTCAATTTATAAATCAAAATGGAAGGTTCATTAATTTTCCTTAGCTTCTAAACATTTGTGTGGAAATGAATATTCTTTGCAAAATGACTTGGGATGTCTTGGCAGGCAGAGGCACTGTAAAAGCATTTCTTGGGCAGCTATCAAGAGGTTACATGCTACTGAACCTATATTCCACAACTTGCGGCTGAAATATCCACTCTGCTAGCTTAAGTTAATCTCTCTCTATATTTTAGAGTGCATCTGTCTGTGCTTCTGTCTGTGAATCTTTGTTCAAGAACTTCTTCTAAATGGTAAGAGCTAGGACCACCAAATTTGGTATGCAAATTTCCTCTTACGCTAACGTAAAGCAAGGTTAGGGTTTGATTGTGCCAGGAAAATGGGAAGTGCCAGGAATGGTATAAGCTCCAGGGGGTAGCTGAGTTAGTCTGTATAGGATAAATTTACAAAACAAAAACTGGTAGTGCTACCAGACCAGTTTTTGTTTTTTAAGTTTAGGAGTGGGACTATTTTTCATAATTTGAAAAGGGAGGGGCAGAGAGAGGAGATATGATACTCTGAGTGGCCACTGAGGGCAGCGAACCTGCAGCGGAGAACTATACTGCAGAGTGACCACTGAGGGCAGCTGCACCAATGAGAGACTGGCCAGCTGGGGACAAGACTCTGCCCCAAATCATTGCCTCCTCACCCCTCACCGCATGCCCTCACTCCTGCACCCCCACCCCATGCTCTGAGTCCCCCCTCATCTTCGTTCCCCTGCCATGAGTTCCCCCAGGCACTGAACCCTCTTCCCTGACTCCAGACCCCCATCCAAGCCCCTGCCCTGACTTCTGCACCTTCACTCCCTGTCCTGAGCCACCCCACTTGAACCCTGAGGCTCCCCAGCCTTGGCCCTCACTCCAGTACCATTCACCTCTAGCCTTAATCCCCCACACCTCCTAGCCCCCTGCCCTAACTCCTTAACCCTACTGCTTGCTCTGAGCCCCACATATACCCAACCCTCTATCCTTCCCATCACCTGCCTCTATCCTTCCCGTCACCTGCCGTGACTCCTCCACCCCCTCACCCATGCCCAGAGCCCTCCTAGTCCCCTGTCCTGACTCCTTCACCCCATCCCCTGAGCCCTCTCCCATCCTCTTGTAATCAATCATGTAAATATTGTATGTTCATTTTTCCTTTTAATTAAAAAACCCCAACAAATCCAAAACATTACAACAGTTAAGAACCTGAGCAGCACTGGGATACATGTGCTAGTTGAGAGTAAGTTTGAGTTTTCTGCACATTGTAAGGGTATTGGTCTGCTTTGTTAAATCATAGAATACTAGGACTGGAAGGGACCTCGAGAGGTCATTGAGTCTTGTTCCCTGCCCTCATAGCAGGACCCAATACTGTCTAGACCATCCCTGACAGACATTTATCTAACCTACTCTTAAATATCTCCACAGATGGAGATTTCACAACCTCCCTGGGTAATTTATTCCAGTGTTAAGGTTTCCATCTTAGTAGATTCAGAATTCAGAACTACTTTGAATTCTATGGGAGCATCACAGAATCATAGAAAGACTGGCCTAAAAGGAACCTGAGACGGTCATCAAAGCCAACCTCCCATACTGAAGCAAAACCAAGTAATTCTAGACCATCTCTCGCAGGCGTTTGTCCAACCAGTTTTTAAAAACCTCTGTGACCTCCATTGTGAGGATTCCATGACCTCCCTTGGAGGCTTATTACTGAGCTTAACTGCCCTTAGAGTGAGAAATGTTTCCACTCTTTAACCTACATTTCCTTTGCTGCTGATTAAGCCTCTTACTTTTAGGCCTGCTTTCAGTGGGCATAGCGAACAGGTGATCACTGTCCTTTTTATAATGGGCCTTAGTATATTTGGAGATTGTTACCAGTCTTCAGTAATCTTTTCTCAAGACTCAATGTGCCCAGTGTTTTTAACCTTTTCTCATAGGTCACATTTTCTAAACTTTTTATCATTTTTTTTGTTCTCCTCTGGGCTTTTTCCATTTTATTCATATTTTTCCTGAAGTGCGGCATCCAGAATTGCATAAGAATCAGCTGAGAGTGTCTGTGTTATTTGGTGGGGTTTACATCTGGCCTGCTGGAGTTTCAGAAGTTGTTTAAAAATAGTCTCTCCTCTCTTCTCCCTTTCGAGTTTGACAGGTAGGTTCCTGAAGATAATTTTCAAATACTGCATTTTTTCTAATACTTTCCTCCTCTGATCTCCTTTGCAGGGAAGAGAAACGTCTTGCCTTCTTTGAGGGCAGCCTGTCTGTTTCTTTAAAAAGCCAGAATGTTTCTTGCTGCTTATTGTACTCTTAGCTTGCTACTACTAGGGCCTAGGGTTACCAGGTGGCTTCAGAAAAAAAATACTGGACACACTTGATCTTAGATGTGGGGGAGGACACCGGCTGGGAGGAGAGTGGGGCTGGCCAAGAGGAAATGTGTGTGTGGGGG